TTGTAACCTTGAGATTGTTGATATTTTGCCACAATTTTGGTTCTCAGGTCCTCAGACAGTTCTCGTCTCCTCTTTCTGTTGTCCATGCTTAGTGTGGCACAGACAGACACACAATGCAAAGGTTAAGTGAACGTCTCTCCTTTTTATCTGCTTTCAGGTGTGATTTCTATATTGCCCACACCTGTTACTTGCCCCAGGTGAGTTTACAGGAGCATCACATGCTTGTAACATTCTTATTTATCCGCAGTTGTGAAAGGGTGCCAATACTTTTGTCCAGCCCATTTTTGGAGGTTTGTGTGACATTATGTCGAATTTGCTTTCTTTCCTCCCTTTTTTTGTTTTGTCCCAATACACACAAAGGGAATAAACATGTGTATAGCAAAACATGTGTTAATGCAATACGTTTCGTGAGAAATACATGATTTCCTGGAGAAATATCAAGGGTGCCAACAATTTCGGCCATGACTGTATATTTAGCTAGGCTGCAAATGAAATGACCCACAGTTCGCTTTTTAGGTCTATAATACAGAAAACAGAATATCCCATGTATTGGCACATGTTAATAGTCCTAAAAAAAGGTTTGGCCACCCTGCTGTTCAGAACCAATTTGCTGTTTGTGACAACAGCTTGCAATCTGTGTCAGCATTTTACCTTGTAGTCTATACTAGGGGCACATGTGACAAGTCAGAAGAACAACTTGGGGGCAGTTGTCACCATTTTGATAAGAAGTGTCTAAATGAAAGGCTTTCATGGCACAGTAACCAGATATTATTTTAGTAAAGCTGAAGATTGAAAAAGATTGAAAATGGCATTTGAAATTACCACTCTCATTATCATGTTAAGGATTAATTGAGATTTAAATTATAAGTTCCCTTTGGGAAAGAGAGTCCCAATCATGGCAGAGAAAGCAATAAAACCCTTCCCCATGTGACTTTAAAAAAGTGTCATTATTGGTGCCAGTGGCCCACTGAGAAGATTCCAACTCATTCTCTGGTCAAGTGACCACTGTCAGTGGCATAGGAGGTATAAAAAGGTCTCCCCAAAAGGGACACAAGGAGCAATATAAACAGATGTTCTAACACTTCCCAACACTATAAAAAAGATATACAAAAAAGGTTTTGATCAAAGTTCCTCTTTAAGAATTATCCCCTTTCCCCACATTTAAAAAAAGTTGTCCATTCTTTGCTCATGATTGGAAGTCTGGAATAAGGAGGCAACCTGTCCAAGTGCTATCTGAAGAGCAAGAATTTGAATTAAATCTGATCATACCAATAAAAACAATGTTAAAAATTTAGTAGCATATAAAAGTTTAAAATACATCCACTGGATCTCATTATTGAATTGCAAAAGCATATTAGGCATCCTGTGGGCTATATCTGGCTATACCAAATCAAATAGTCTCTATGGACTGTTGTGATACCACAATAAAATGGTGAGCAAATGACGTTGGTATTATCATGTGACACTGGTGGGAGGAATTAATATATATTGAATCCATGTGAAATTGAGTGAGCGAGCCTTGGAATCCGTAAAGTGCATTTAAAAATGATTCTGATATTTTACTTAGTTAGCTCACTTATTAGGAACTAGTAGTGGTACATTTTTGAGTTCCTTCCCCATGTAAGACAATTAACCTAATGTGGTTTACATATCATTGATATTGTTGAGTGTTAGGTTTATGGTTTATTTGTTTCTATTTACAGTAAGCTAAATCCTGTGCCTTCAAGGGATTAGATCCTGTAGCCCAATAAAGTCTAGACCAGCCTTTTTCAACCAGGGTGCCCAGGCTCCCTGGGGTGCCTTCGGTTTCTTTAGGGTTGCCTTGGCAAAATTTAAAAAAATTGCTAAAAAATTGTATTCAAGCCTGCCTTTTAGTTACACAAAGTCACAGGTTTTCATTCTGCACCATTACAGCCTTCCAGCCACCAGCATCCTAACAGCCAATGACATAATCTGTTGATAAGGAGGACGTCGAGTGCATCCTTGTTTGCCCTTCCCCTGCCTCTCTCCATTAGCACTGTGCTTAGTGTGCATAGGTGTATTTGCTTTGAAAGAATATATCACATTGGGTGTCCTATGTGTGTGGATGATGCTGCGATATGTAAAACTATTTGTTTAGTTTTTTCCATTTTAGAATAGGGTGCATAATTTTAAAAGGTGCCTTGACTGACAAAAGGTTGAGAAACACTGGTCTAGACATAACTTGCCCACCAGCACTGACCACCTTCTTCTTGTGAATACTGTCTATGAGGGCATTTCCCTTACTGTCAACAGGACAGGAAGTCAAAGGAAATCTCCCCCAAAAAATAGCAAATGAAAAAATAACCAGTTGGGGTTGAAACCATTGCTTATTCTACCAAAAAGGAAAAAAAAGGTTTGGGTTTAGACTTCCTTTAACTATATATATTTATTCTAGTACTTTCAGTTCCTCTTGAGGGATTCCTTCTATCTAACACCAAGTAATTATAGACCTGTTAGTTTAACATCTATAGTTGGGAAGATACTGGAGAGTTTAATAAAAGACCACATAGATGAGTTCTTGCTGTGAAAAAATATTTTTAGCAGCAGACAACATGGATTCATGAAAGACAGAAGTTGTCAAACAAATCTGATTTCTTTTTATGAGGAGCTGAGCAAAACCTTGGACAGAGGGGTGGCAGTGGACATGGTATACTTGGATTTTGCAAAAGCGTTTGACACAGTTCCCCACACATGGCTAATGTGTAAGGTACAGTCTACGTGCTTGGAAAAATCCATATGTAAATGGATAGAAAACTGGCTAAAAGATCGTATTCAGAGAGTAATGGTTAATGATTCATATTTTGAATGGTCTAGGGTCATCAGTGGTGTACCCCAAGGTTCAGTGTTGGGACCCTTACTTTCTAATATATTTATAAACAATATAGGAGCTGGGATTAAAAATACTGTTTCAGTCTTTACAGATGACACCAAGCTATGCAGTGGAATAATGTCCTTACAGGATGTCTCCAACTTACAAGCCGACCTCAATGCACTGTTTAATTGGGCAACTATGTGGCAAATGAGGTTTAATGTTGATAAATGTAAAGTTAGGAACTTGGGGGCTGAGAATATGCATGCATCATACATACTAGGGAGGGTACAACTGGGGGAATCAATGGTGGAGAAGGATCTGGGAGTTCTGGTAGATCACAAGCTTAATAATGACATGCAATGCCATGCTGCGGTTTCTAAAGTGAGTAAAATCCTCTCCTGTATTAAAAGAGGTCTAGACTCCAGAGAGAGAGATCATATTACCCCTGTACAAATCAATAGTAATACCTCATCTGGAATATGCAGTTCAGTTTTTGGCACCAATTCACAAAAAGAACATGGGGGAACTGGAGAAAGTACAGAGAAGGGCAACTAAACTGATAAGAGGCATGGAGGAGCTCAGCTATGAGGAAAGATTAGAGGAACTGAATTTATTCTCTTGAGAAGAAGAGATTAATGGGGATATGATCAACATGTATAAATACATCAATGGTTCATATAGTGAACTTGGTGTAGAGTTATTCACCCTGAGGTCATCACAGAGGACAAGGGGGCACTCTTTACATCTGGAGGAAAATAAATTTGATCTTGAAACACGGAAAGGTTTCTTCAGTAAGAGCTGTGAAAATGTGGAATAGACTCCCTCAAGAGTTGCTTCTGGCCAGCTCAGTGGATTGCTTTAAAAAAGACCTGGATTCTTTCTTAGATACACAGAATATAACTGGATACTAACATTTATAGGTAAAGTTGATCCAAGGAATATCCGATTGCCTATTGGGGGATCAAGAAGGAATGTTTTCCCTGCAGGAGTAAATTGGATCATGCTTTGCTGGGTTTTTGCCTTCCTCTGGATCACCTGTGGGTGTAGGATTATAACTTTTTTTTTAATGGTTTAACTGGATGGACTTCTGTCTTTTTTCAGCCAGACTAACTATGTTACACATTCTAGCTGGATAACCATACAAAAAACACACCATAACATATTTGATCCTAATTTACAATGTAAACAGATTGATAGCTTTGGTAAAGTATTACTCAAAACATGTTTTATTAACACTAAAGAAAACACTGAATCTGTAATTGCTACAGTGACTTCCTAGAACTGTTCTGCCTATAATTCACTTACTGTCTGTTTATCCAGATTTTGACCTTGGGCTTTGACTCTGTGTCAGCTTTAGTCTTGGAGAACAAGAAGTTATTGGTACATACAATGGAAAACAAGGATATTTTTTGGCACATCAAAGGCTATGAAAGAGTTGTTTGTTATACCCTCATGTCCATGTGACTTTTAACCAATAATTTAGAATAATTTGTAGTAAATAGCTCCATTCTTCTCTTAAACTTTGATTTAATCACTGCTCAAGAGACTTCCACAATCACCTACATAAAGCTGCTCTTACATCACTTTATAGGTCACATGGCCACAAATGTCAAATCATATTGTTTTCTCCTTATAAAATAAACTGCTACAACAGTTCACTTTGGAAAGCCGGTTAGAGATCTTTTTGGAATTAGAAAAAAAACGCAAGCTTTTACAATAGAAGGAATTTAAATGAAAATGATTCCCAAACTCTTGGTATTTGTCACTGACAACCTTAGTGTGCTCAGTTACATGCATACTTATTTTCATGCTTTGATTTGTACTCCTATGTGCTTATACCTGTTAGATCATGCTTGTACATAGGTCACCTGGTGGTGTTCAATTCTAAATAGAATACACATATTCTAAACTACCAAAGCAAAGAAATGCAGACAAGAACATCAGCACGTGAAAATGTGGGTTGATTGAAGTCAGTGGTCAACAGAGTCTTTTAGAAAGGGTAGTGTTCTCAGAGGAACACTGATATTATAGACTTGGCACTGACTTGCAAATCCTATCAGAATTTTCTGTAAATCAGGAAAGTTATGTTTTCTTCTTCACACCTAAAAGAGGAAAATACACAATATATTCTAGTCCTTTCTACAGAAAAATAAGTTTGAAACTATACCTGATATTGGGGAAAGGATATTGATTTGTGCAGTGTATTGAGAGTAGGCGACTGACATTACTTTCACTGTATAGTTTGTCTCCCTTTGTAGCTCTAAGCATATAACAGGATGTGGCTCATCTATGCTGACATTAAAAATAAGGATGTGCTTGAAGTCCTTCTGATGCCATCTGTGTCCATTGGCAGAAATCTACAAGACAGTAGAAAACAAGAAAAAAAAATAGGAAAAACTCTGGTTTATAGAGATTATAGTCTTCAGCTACTAAGAAAACATTTTTTTATGCCTATATTGCTGTTGGAGAATTCGCTTTACTTTCTGTCTGGAAAAATGTTATCAGCAGAGCAGAAAGTGAGGAGAAATCTCTGTAACTGCACCCTGGATAGTAGGGGTTCCAACCCTTTTCCACTCTATCCAAGATAAAAAAAAAAAAGGTTTTGGCTGGGCATACACAATAACTTTCCCCCTCCTATTCAAAGGACAAAAGTAAATGTAATTCAAATAAATACAAGTGATATTATAGTTATAACTGTGTAACTTGCTTGTTAAAAACTAAGAACCTCTTAGTAGGTGTTCATGGGGATCCATTGACCTTGTGGTTTATCATTATTCATTATCTCCAGGATTTAGATGCAGCTCTTACAATGTTTCCACTCCATAGAGGCTGTTTGGCAAGCAATTTATGAACATTAACCCCTAAGCACAAATTCTCTTACTACAGAGTTTATTATAAAAGATGTCTGAAGTTCAGCAAAAGTAATACTCCAGTATCAAACGTGGCACTAGCAGCAAGAGAAGGCAATTAATGTTTATTGCAAAGAATATAACTAACAATCACAAACTTTAACAGTCCTTGTGAGAAAACAGAGTTTAAAGTGTATTGCTTTCGAAAAAAAAAAGCATCTCTGCAATACACTCAGATGTTCCCATATTTTGTGTACCAGTTGATGTTTCCAGAATCCCCATAGTGAGGTAACAACTCTACCTCAGATGCTCTAAAACCCTACGCAGCATTGTCAGAACTGCATGAGTTCTCCCTTGCTGGACTACAGAACACCTCTCCCTCTTCCAGCACCAGAAGAGGGAAGTGTTCGGTAGTCCAGCAGATAAGAACTAAGGCAGGGCTAACAAAACTGCAGATTTCAACACAGCTGAGGCAACATTTCCAGCTCATTACATGAAGGTAGGGACTCACTGGATCTCTGGTAGGATAATTAGGTATTGGAAATTAGTTGGACAATTCGAAGGGGTGGGTGAGCCTTTGTCCATTAATCAGGTGTGCCTCGCTTATCATTTGCAGCTTCTGCCATTGGCACTAGGAAGGTTTGAACTATTGGTAAAGGTTTCCATAAGAGAAACTGTGTAGTAACTGGCATAGTTGGGAAATCTCAGCAATGAGTGAGCACCAGTTGTGTGCAGTCTTGGTGTTGTGTACTAGTAAAGCTGCCATGTAAGGGTGAACTGTGTAACCCTGCTGCTATTAAGACAAGTCCGTGCAGTTGAAGTGTCCAAGCTACTACTTAAATGTGAAAGAGAGACCTTAAGGGAGGTAAAGTTGCACCAAAGCACAGGTTTATTAACTTTGTTTCAACTGAAGTACAGATTGTCTTTGTAAGAACATCGTATAACAACAATGGCCTGAAGCTCACATCTTTCTGGGCTATTCTGCAAAGAATCTCTATTATCACAACTGTTCTAAAATATTTTGATGCCATAAAGGATGTATAAAGTACTGTTTCCAGATGGTATCCCCAGTAAGGCTGGGGAGGGAATGGTTAGATGATGCTGAATATGTCCAGCCAGGAAATTACCTGGGCCTGGACTCTTACTTGTTGCAGCTTATAATGCACACTATGAAAAGCTCACAGCATGCACTGAAACTGAGTTAGCAAGTTCAGTGCAGGAAAGGAGCCTGTATAACTATGCAAGAATGAAGGTAAGGTTGGAGTTCATCTTTAAATCCTGGAAATAATGGAGTTGATTTACTACAGGCAAATAAATTGTTCACTTTGCAATTGCATTTGCACTCTCCAATGGCATTTGCTCCAGAGCTTAGTAAATGAGGTGAAGCTTCACTTTGCAAATAATAGTCAATCCCATGCAAGGAAAATAAAAATAAAACACCTGTATTTCTGCTTGCACATGATTGGATTATGGAAGTCAGAAGAGCTTCCCCTCATTTACTAAGCTTTGGAGCAAATATCCTTGCAAAGTGCCCAGTCTATTTGCCTTTAGTTAATCAATCCCCCATGTAACACAACAAATTATAGCATTTGTATCCAATCACAACAGTTCAAAAGCTTACCACATAAAGCTCTGCTGATTTAGATTCTCTTCTCCATACCAAACAGGAGTCATTAAGTAATGTCAAATTTTGAATAGGGCTTCCTAAAAACATACACTGATAGTTAAGAGATCTCTAAACATGTGTAACTTGTATTTTACAGAAAGATGTTCATGTATATTTCTGTTTGTACAAAAGCAAAAAAAAAACAAAAACTGAATTTCAAGTCAAACAATGCAGTATAAAACAATATAAAGTGGGGCATGCTGAATCTGTTCCAAAGAGTAAAAACAAACAAGTGTCACAATAATATATACATTGTGGTTTGGGCAATGCTTTTTGATGTCTTTTGAACTGTCTTGTTCTACATTTTAGATACACAGTGTACAAGCAGCTCCGGAGAGCTGCCTGCCTAAAGTGACTGTACCCAGCCTGCTTACAATGAACAATGCTTGATACTGATGACTAATATGTTTGAATATGAATATGTAAACTCTTTCTAAATCAGATAGAAAAAGCATTGTGATATTGCCCAGGCACTTCTGTTTTTCCATTTTGTGTAAAGTGTGTATATATCCTGCTCTCTAAAAAAAAATCTATAAAAACCACAAATCCAAGCATCTAAATAAATATTACAGAGATATTAAATAATTAAAAATTAATTACGGGGCTTTCATTACAGCAGTAGATACATGTAAAACAGTAATCAAATATTTTATAGATTATTTAATTAATATAATCATTGATGATAAATAATCACTGTATAGTACATCAATAATTTCCATACACTATAAAGAACTGTGCAAAAACCATAGTGTTCATAAACATGACATGCAATCCAAGGTAGAATGTCTTTTTCAGTCCTTTTTAGTGATAATATTCATAAAATATTCCAGAAACAAACTCCATCCAAAAGAGCAAATTTCTTCAGCAAGGTACACGCTAAACTAAACTTGGCAAAGTGATGTGCCAGATTTGTTCCACCAGATACCTAAAGAGTTCTAGTACAGAAATAAGCAATCATTCCTTTATGCTAGGTGATAGCATTTCTTATGCAAGTGGATATTTATATTTATTTTATATTGAGATTTTGATTAAGATTGTCTGCACAATGAGCCTTGTTCTGTCCTCTTTTATGCAGTTGATAGCAAGGTGTGTTTATTAGGAGGTACTGCGGCCATCCACCTTTCCTGCTGTTAAATGAGTTCTTACCTGTGCTTTTTGATCAGTTTGTTCATTGAAGGGGTCAAAACTGACACATGATTTATCACTTTTTGGGGTATCTGGTACAGTAAATCTGGCACACCACTTTGCTGAGTTTCATTTGGCACATACCTTGTTGAAGACATTTGCACTTTTATATGGAGTTTCTTCTGGAGCACTTTATTAAAATTATCACTATCTGAGTACTTAAAGTGAATTTCAGCCTTGGATTGCATATATCGATTTATGAAGTTTTGGGCACAGTTTTCTATAGTAGGTGGATATTATTGAATATTGTATTCTATATGGTTATTTTTAAGAGACAACTACATGGAATTCCTTTTAAGAGAAAATTACGTGGAACAAAAAATACTTTACACAAGAAGATATCTATTTTGGAATTTTTCTTTTTAACATTAATGCCCTACTGATACACAACTTACCAACTAGGTTGGAATGGGCCCCGGTGATATTTGTGGGAAATATAGTGTCCATGGGTAATTCCAAGCATACTATAGACACATTTTGGTCTCTATTAATGTTAAAAAACACATCCTGAAGCAATTCCTTTGGAGACCATCTTCTCCTTTAACATACAACTATTAGCACAAAAAGTACATATGGACAATTAGACTAATCTTATCTAAAAGCTTTTTTCACCAAGCAAAATTCTTCTTTTCATCATTGGAACAAAAATCTACTAGTGAAGCTTAAAGTGGAACTTCACTGCATCTGAGCACCACAAACCAAAAATGTTATTTAATTAATTGTTAATATTCAAAGCAAACTCCCCCATCCATCCATCCATGTCTCCATGCTATATTTTGCTGAGAAATTCATTTTGAAAACACCCCCTAGCATTTCTGTTAGTGGCCATCTTGAGTAAGGGCATATGATTCATATAGCATTTACTTCCTGGAATCCATCTGCCCTTAGCTCAGGCACTGGCTGAGCTGAGAACCCTCCTTCCCCTTCTGAAGACTGTTGGGATGTATGATATAATTTGCCTAGGCATGGAAACCAGGAAGTAACTGAAGAAAGAAAAAGTAAAACAAATAAATATGATAAACCTTCCTATCTATTTACTAACGCAAGCATCATAAGGATTAAAAAAAGTTCATGTTGATTGAGAGAGCGAAGTTCCACTTTAACTGCAGCAAAGGAAAAACAACTAAGAATTATCCAATTATTAGAAATATGTAATTTAGTTTAGGACACATATCCAAACATGTAATCCAAACACAGAATTGATTTACATGGGGGAAACCTCCACTTTATTTTTCTCCTGTTTCCTTACATCAGTTTCTCGAGGGACAAAGAGCTGCCTAGTGTGGGCTGTAACTTTTAGTTTATATATTTCTTACTTTCATACATGACTTCCTGGGCCTAAAATATGAAGTTAAATGAAGAGAACATGTGTTTATTACAAAAAATGAGTCACGTGCAGGACAATTTTAAATCTTAGGAACTTCTCTACACATAATTCGGTAAAGTGGACACACCACCCCCTTCTTTTCACTACTCTTTAGTACATCAGGTCCATTGTGTGCATCCTTTTATGCCTAAAGTGGTTGCAAACCCCAGACATGAATTATGAACAAAGCATATCCCTCTATAATGTATACTTGCTTCAAATAACAATTTCAGTTCACAAAGTGTGCCATTTCTGCCTGCAGTACTGCTCCATTCCTCTGGTATCAGCATTAATCACTTTTGACAAGTTTTTCTGACACCAAGAGAAAATAAGTGACAGGGTAGGGACCTCCAGTAGAATGACAGCCTCCGCTCTGTTCCTGTGAGCTGTGTGAAGGGGGAATGTCCCTTCCCTCCAATCAGCTCTCAGAACTCACCTCGCTGAGCACTGTAGTGTGTAATTTCAGCCCCCTTTTTTCTGACAGCTCTACAAGCTTTATAAATTCAGCACTTTGAATGGTTGTAGAGAAGAGAATACTGCAGATAAACATGTACAACTTATTTAAGAGGAGTCCAGTCATTTCACTATGTACAGTATATTTGGCACTGTCATTAGCCCCTAAACGCTGAGCGCACACATATATGTGGGCTCTTGGCGTCTGGGCCTTGACGCCAAGCGGACACATATTTGCATGCCATTAGAAAATACATATATGCTGAGAGTGCGCGCCCTGCTCACGGAAAAAGGTCCCTATCTCCCCTTGCGATCGGGATCTTTTGTGATCATGTGACTGCTGTGATGGCAAATCACGGCGGTCACATGACCCTAAAACCCCGCCCACCTCCCAGCTTCTGAAACTCTTAAAGGGCTGGGAGGCGCCGGCGTAAAGGGGTTAATATCCCTTGCTGTTTTCCTTTATTCTTCAGTTATTGAAAAACATTCATAGATTTAAAATGAAAATGGCCACTTTAACAAAGCCTAGACACTGGTCTCAAAAGCCCAATTACCAAAGTAAACACAGTTTTCACAAAAAAGTCTTGCTGAATCAAGCAAATAATGGCATCAAACAGGAAAGAGGTACTTGGTGCTTAAAAACAAAAGGAGACTATTTGCTAACATTTACATTTGTCCACCTAACAACTTGCTGAGCTTTTTAAATGTGAAAAGCACAAAAAACTACTTAAAAAGTGCACTCCATTTTAAATTAAAGGTTAAAAAAAATCTTTAGATAAAGGAATATGTAACATGCAAGATACATAATTGGAACTGTACTGTTTTTAGGTATGTATTTTTGAAATTATAAGCTCCATTTTCAAAGCTACAATATAATGTTTCTTGTATTATTGGAATGTGTACAGGTAGGCTTCCAGAAATTGACTTTGGGGTGGGAGGATAAGAAGCTGTTAACCTGCCTAGGACTTTGGTTTAAATCCGGCGTTTGGTTCCCTAAACAGCAAACAGCATTGATATAATTTAAAACGTACTTTGTATAACTCTTGTAAGCCATCTAAATGTCTATTCAACTGTAAGCATGTTTCATTCGATTTTTGCTGAGTGATAGAGTTTTCACTTTCTACAAGAGAAAAAAAAAGATAATTATTATTATTATACAGGATTTATATAGTGCCAACAGTTTGCGCAGTGCTTTACAAAATAAAGGTAGACATTACAGTTACAATACAATTTAGTACAAGAGGAAACAGAGGGCCCTGCTCGTTAGAGCTTACAATCTAGGAATTACAATTCGGTTAGTGGAAAACATTTATACTCATGCATGCTTCTTTCAATGTTTAATAGTAAAACTGTACGTGAGTTTTCATATAATTATGGCCTTATATAATTGAATATATACAATAAATATATATATATATATATATATATATATATATATACTCACCATGGCGTGTCATGTTTAGAATAACATGTGCAGACAGTTCTGTGGATGTCTCAGTAATATTGATTAAGTACTCTGCTCCAGGAGGCAACTCTAAGCAAAGAATTGGTTTAAACTCTTCTGTACTGAAATTGAACATGATGTTCTGTAGCAGTTCTTGCCGATTCCAGGTTTTACCTTGGATGAACACCTGGGGAAGGTTAGTACAAATATACAGTTAATGATACCAAGGTCCATTTAAAAGCTAATGTCATATTCTTTTAATGATTAAAAAAGAAAATGTGACAAGGGGATCACCGACATGACAGTGATTGATTGAATCTACAGGAAAATAGTATGAGCTCACCACCCTCATTCATCACCTAGGTCCATATCCTTATGCTAGTATCTTCACCACTGACTATGTTTTATAGTGTGTGTGCCCTACCTAGAGATGAGAATTCCTGTAAAAAAAACTGGCAAATTGGTTAAAAACAGGGATTTTTTTGCATTTTTTTCCCCAAAATTGTGGAATATGTTCTTTTACAATGATACGTTATATATATATATATATGACATGGTATTCAATATATATATAGGACTTTATTG